CTTTGAACATGCCACCCACCAGTTTGATCTTTCAACTCCATACAAAGAAGGGTAGTGCTCTCCACAGGGAACAATAACTCCTTATTCACCCCATCCAYGCCACTTCTTATAGAGCCACATACTGCACCCTGAAAATTTTTCAGTCTTCACTGCTTACTTTGCATTCAAGGCTCATTGTTTTGCATGTAAACTCAGAATCATCTTTCTGGTACCTTTATGTGCCAGCTTAAATTTATGTATATTTGGTCTCATTTGCTATTTTACCGTGCAATCATCATCCATCACGGAATCCTTTTGGGTTCATGCAACAGTTTGCAGCTTGCTGTTGCCTTTGCAGCTACCTTGAATAACTTGTGTCATTGCCAAACTGACACATTATTCACCTCCTTTTCCAAGCTCATGGTAAGTAATTTGACAGCACGGCCTCAGCATTACTAAATTTCTGTGAGAGTCCTGTAGTAACCATGATAAATGCTTTTTGGATGGAAATCTAAGGAGACTATATAAGCTAAACTTCCTTGTCTTAATATTGACCAACTTGGGGCAGGGTGGAGGAAAGGTGTTTATGAAGCTTGACCTCCTCTCTCAAACTCTGTATTGAATCATTCATCCACATCCGCTAACTCTGTTCTTCGGAGCAGTTTTACCCATTTATCCAAGAAAAGTGTCAGGCTTACTTCCAAAATTAACAGTACGTACTGAAATCAGGGAATCAGAAGAAAAAAAAAAAAAAGAGGGGGGGCGGGGGAAGGATAAGACTTAGAATACTTTAGATTTATATTCACATAATTAAATATGTGTAAAATTACTTTTCTAAAGCTACATGAATAAACTTACAGTATAAAAACTCACTAAAAAAGAGTTTTAATAACCTGCCTAATTTTGGCAGGCTTCCAAAATCTTCACACACTTCAATAATTTGAAGAAATCAGGTCAAATTAGAAGGACTAGGATCTAGAATACTTTACAGATTTTGACTGTATTAAAAGCTTCCCTTTCCCATCCTGAAAAGATCTCTTTTCACTAGCAGTGAGACTACTACTCTAGGGCTGCAACTTGCACTATTTCCTGCAATGCTACTCAGGAAATACAGCTACAGACAATTTACTAACCTTTATTAACACTGACTTAAGAGCAGAAGGCATTTCTAGGGAAAGCTCTACTAGTGCTCAGTAGTTACTAGTACAGAAGACCTTGGGAAGGAATAGATCCTGAGTCCTAGCAGTGTTTTGAGAGGAGAGGGAAGTTTGTTGGCTTTTTCATAGAGCCTTTGCCACCCTTTCTCTCATGCTAAAGGAGCAAGTGGATATATCTGCACTTTAGCAAGCTTTATTAATAACTATTAGCAACCATTRTTCATAACTGTCTGAAACTTACAAGGCTAGCATATAAAATTACAATACTTACATAGCGCCTAAATTCTACAAAGCAGGGAGTAACTAGTACACATTGCAAAAGACATATGAATGCAAAAGACATGCCTTGAAAGGGGTAAATCTTATTTTGCAGATGCAAAGGCATAGGACAAACTGAKATTTATCTGTTTTGGTTTTCTTGATTACCTTGAAACTGTTGTACAAGCTTAACTCCATGRAATCAAACTAAAAGAATGCTACAGAAACAACTGATGTCCTTTTCAAGTAGGTGTTACTGTCATTCATTTTTTTAGAGTTAATGTAAGCTAAATACAAACAAACATAAACAAACAACAAAAAATCCCCAGTAACGTTGGTTACTTGCCAAGATAATGTGGTAAAAGCTAGAGTGGCAAGTAAAAGGAAACCAAAACATTTCATGCATATGCTGAAAAGACTTTGCAATGGTTGGATACAAGCACGACGCTTTGGCTTCATATAGAAACAAAAAAAAAAAAAATCAGTTTTCAGTAAGTTTAGCTTTTTTCCTAATAATTATTTTGAGAGTGTGCATATGGAAAGAAGCTCAGAATAAACCAATGCTAAAGATCCTCTTGTACTTATCGAACACCCCCACCACTGTCTATGCAGGCTGCTCACAGAGTATCACAAGCTCAAGTCATGTCCTTGTCTTCAAAAATCTATTTTGTGGTCTGGGATTAAGACAAATAAAATGGCATTTCAATGTCYCTCAAAAAATCCTCAGCCACAAAAAACCTCTATAAAAATTATAAATTGTACAACCAAATGCTTTCTCTCCCCTCAGGTCAGAATCATCTGGGCTGCGGTCCAGTTTTCTCTTGTCATCTTCCCATCTTTTCCTGACACTATTCCTCTGCCCCTGGCCTGACAATAGCATCACATCACACTAAAAGCTTTGTTGAGTTCATGGTGGTGTTGCCTAACTTAGTCACATCTATGTTTAATCATACTTGTCAAAAGCTCATCTTTTTATTGTGTTTCAGAGACTTCAAGACACACCAGACACTGTTACCTACCCATAAAACACCATGTTATTCCAGCTAGAACTGAAGCAGTTACACATCCAAAATTAAGCTTAAAGATGCTTCATTTGACTGCAGCAGGGGAGCTGCCCTCCTCTCCATGTCAGGAGAGCTGCCCTGCCTGTAAACTACACAACATTAAGCACCAGTAAAGCACAGCATTTGAACCTACTGTTCCTCCAGTAAAGTATCTAAAGCCTGGATCCTGTAACAGACACCTCCAGTATATTCACTGCACCAGTTAATTCACAGGAGGGGAAGTATTCAAAAATAAATAGTTGGTTAATGAAGTATGATTTGTCTTCTTGYTATTAAGACAAGCAGAAATCTATATTTTTGGAAAAAAAAAAAAAAAGGTGAGATCCAGAAGCATGAAAAAACAGCATTCATATTAGACTGAAAAGAGTTATGACAGGTGAAAGGGCAATGAAAGGCTTACTTGACTCTGATGGTTAACTGGAAATTCACTGGAYTCAGAGCTGGAAGTGAGCTAATCTCAACTGAATTAGTTCTGAGTTACCTTAAAAACAGTCACTTAATCAGCTGCAGTCTAATATTTAAGAGAAAGGAGCCAGAAGAGCCAAAGAGGATAGGGAAACTTTTTTTCTCCTTCCATAGGAAAAAAAGAGACATTAAGTATTTGGGAAAAAAAAAAAAAAAGGACAATACCAATTCAAGCTTATTGGTCTATGAAGGAGSAAGAGAGGAGGCATGTGGTGAATTCCAACATGAAGGTACAGATCAGATCTAGTGGTTTGATGGCACTATTAGATAAAGAAAAATGTATTTCTTTAAAAAGATTATTGATTCAGGAAAAGGTGGCTTATGGGATAAAGTGGCTGGCAGAAACACTGCTCTTTGAGATTCTGCAAAATAGTGCAGCAGAAAGAACCACTATTTATTTTCATTTTGCTATGAAGATCAACGACAGCGGAAATGTTTCTAAAGAAATCTCCACAGCAATAAGATCTTATACTACATGACTGTGATGAGGAAGTGATCTGCCTGTTGGCTGCTTCCGGCTAATTTTCCTTTAAATGCAGTTTTATTTTCAAATTCAATATTTTTCTTGTTTCAGGTTGAAAAAGGCCCGCAGTGACCTATTCTCATGCAATATCCACAACACTCATGCTAATGAGTTTCACAGGTCAGTACATCTATCACCATTTCTCCAAATCCACTCTAAATAGTGAAGAATTCAAAACTTTTACATTTTTATCTCTTCTGATTCTAATGAGAATTAGATTAAGCCTTTTAATTTAAAGGACACCATGCCCCACTTTGTTGTCCTTCAAGGAAACAWAACACACTGGATTGCATCAGTTTTTCAAATCCATATTAAATTTCAGAGCTCTCAGTCATTTGAATGGAGATTTAAAAAAAAAATGATTCTCCAAAAGAAATCATAATTTGCTGGATGCTGGAATTCACCCAAACTTCTTTGGTTTCTCATATTTAAAGTCCAATAACTAACAGTATGATACTTATCTAATAACTTTTTGAGTACCACCTTAGATAGGCAAAGTGGCAACATTGAATTTTCACAATTATTTTTGTAACCATGACTGCAGTCTTAGCAACTTACAAATGCAGTTGCAGATTGGATAAATGCTCTATTTAGGCTGTTTTAGAGACTCACTGTTCCTACTTCAAACTATCCTTTCCAAATATTTAATTTAATTTAATTTAATTTAATATCATAAACTCCTGTTAAAATCTAAATGAATGTATTGATTTTGTCATAGCTGTGTAAATTAGTTAATTTTTCAGCTTTCTGTTTGGAAAACAGAAGTTGTTTGAGTACAAAGATTGTTGTCATACAGTTTAATCGTTCATTTTTCTACAACACTGAAGATGATGACAGCTCATCGGACAGCTTTCTCTCAATGCTGCTGCTGCTTAGTTGCTTTTTATCCCAAGGTCTGTCCCACTTGTATTTTAAAAAGCAGCTTTGCCTCATTACACAGGGTTTCTCCATTGTCCCTCTCATGCTGGAACTTTTCATTAGAGTTTTGTTCTAAAGTCATGATTTTTGAGTAACTGGGGTGCTAATCAAGCATCTCCCCTGTAACATCTAGGGATGCAAATAATGATTATTTTCAYGAAAGAGAGCCTGACTGAAATACATCAACAAGTTCTTKTAAGCAGATGGAAAAATAATTCTGAGTTATTGAGAGCTTCAGCTGCTTTCATGACTGCTGAGAATATCTGATAACAACATTTTTCCTTTATAGAGGATTTGTTTTTCTCCTTTTATTGTTTGCTTCCTGCTTATTGAGTGTGATGCCAATGAGTTCCGCATCACTAGGAAAAGTTTTAAGGCAGGGCAGTGTCTAATGCAACAAAACTAACTCTATATGATATAGCRATGAGATGCTTCATTTATTTTCATTCAGAAGGGAAACTTTGAGTCACGGAAAGTATTGCCTTCACTTACTGATGTTTTCTATAGGCAGCATAAGCAATAGTAGCCACAACATAAAAGCTAGAAAGAGCATGTGTTTATCACCTTTAATCTTTTGCGCTGATTTACTGTTCTATGTTAACGTCACTAAGCACAAGCACAATACGCTCTACTCACCAAATAAATTGCTTGAATGTCCTTGCTTAGATATGGGTTTCAGTTCATTTAATCCCCATGCGTAACGCTTATAATTATCCCAGGCATGTTTCATCATCTGTAGGGAAAYGAAAGGAGGATTTTAATGTTGATTTAGCAAGAAGGCACAGCAAATACTAACATGAGAATATACTCAATATTGAACATATTTAATTCAATGCTTAATTAAATGTGTTGAATGCGTTAGAACTAAGAAATATTTTATAGAAAACTAGTAGTAGCATCATTCTCCACATGCTTATGGCAAGAATCCTGTCTTTCAACTCCATCTCTACTGTTACATGCATACTTATAAGGAAGTCATAATAAAAAATAATTAGTTACTAAGGAGAGAAATTTATCAAAGAGTACATTAACTCATGTAAGGGTTTGTTTTTTGYTTCCTTTCTCCCAAAAGCCTTTCATGAAAACTGACAGACATAGGTATTCATTTAAGAAATCAGAAGTTTATTCTCCTAGAGCAGGATTTTTTTTTTAAGATCAGAAATAGGAACAGTTCATAGTAATCATTAGTGCGTGCAGAGTAAAAAACATAAAACTAGYTTATTCAATCACAATACAGCTATTAACAGAAGAAAGAAGCTAGAATGGCAGAACAACATCTGGGAGAGAATATGAAAAATATGCCCTATGTTTTCCTCTCTCTGCCTCTCTCTCTGTCTCTGTCTCTCTCTCTCTCTCTCCCCCCCTCTCCTGCTCCCTCTCTCTCTCTAAGTTATTATGCTATCATTTTCTATGATGATCAGTGCTACTGTACATATCATTAGCTACTCCTAGGTGTCATTTTGTAGGACGTTTACAATTGAACATATAGCTACGAGAACTGCATTTTCCATAAAGAGGTGCACCACGAAGATACTCACAGGCAGACACTGAGGACCTTCAGGTCAGAAGCTGGCAGCAGATGGACTCAACCTCTTTCAACTAAACCACATTTCAACTCAAGGAACTCAAGGACACTCTGTACATTGCCTCCCAGTGATAAGTTAGACACAGCCCTAACTATGCCTTTGGGGCAGATATTGGCCAAACACCATCTTTTAACTCCGCTCAGGAACCACTTTCTTACGAGAGTCAGCAGAAGGACCTTGGCTTTATACAGCAGCAGGAACAACATTCCTTGGGCCTCCCTGCTCCTTGCAGGAGGCAGAGCAGGTCTGTGAAGGCCAGAGGTCATCCTCAAGACACTAAGTGACAATCTCAAACCTCCTCCAAGATGCTGCTTCAGGCTACTGGTTGACAATACTGATCTGCCCTTGTGTTCAGTCCTCCCCTTGAGGCCATGCGTGTCAAGAATAATTTGGTTAAATGGCAGCTATAATCCCAAATTCTAAATCAACAGCTTGGGGGCATGCTGATAATAGTAATCCTGCACTGCCTTCCTTCYTCCTTCCTTTGACATAATTCTTCTGTGTAACTGAGCAATTAAGGATCTGCATTATGCCAGGCTATACTAAGTGACAACAGATCCCCTAGAACGTGCTTGTGGGAATGAGCGTCTCTTGCCTGTTCATAGAAGCATAACTGTGTCCCTAGTCACCAGGAAAACTCAGGGACTTCGGTTTACTCTAGAACCTGTATCGGCCCAACTTCACAATGCAAGGATTTAACATCTAAATGAGATTTTGGCTGAAAGAGAGTGAGAAGCTGTATGGAAATGCTGATAAGCAACAGTGCATGGCAGGAGCATTTTTTCCTCAACACAGAGCTGGTAGCACGATGTTACATAACAGAACTCACGTCTACATGGCATTTCCTGGCTACAGGAATCAAGATCGTATTAAATTATCATTCAGACACAGCATAAGGCTAAGTGATTTTCTAATTTACTAATGAATATCCTAGCCATATTGCATACTATACAAGATTTATGCTGCCCTTCAGTTATGTGCMAGACCAATAGGTTCTGCTTTGGATACTGAAGCAGTATCACTGCTTTAAACACTTTAGCCAGGCTAAATCCTGACCTGCACTGAACCTGCCATTTTTTAAAATGTTCTGTCAAAGCTTATTTTCCTCTAAACCATGYCATTTTATTATTGTTTTTGTTGTATTTAATCATAACCTAAGATCACCCAAGGTCCTACATACGAGTTCCTAGATATGAGGGCTATCTTATTTTTTAGGACCAAATTTGTAATTGAGTGGTCAGAATCAAAGTGCTTAAAAATGCAGTTTCATAACAAAATTGGAGAGGCTCAAGTCAGTATTGCCATAGTCCCATCCTTCTTCCCCTCTTTTCTCCTACCACATCCATGCTCATTCTCTTGCATCAAACATCTGGCATGCATCTGTCCCTGTATCAGGTGACTTCAGAGAGCAGAAACTCTTCAAATTTTTGTTGTCATCATTGAGAATCAATTTTGTCTTGCCTAGCTCCCCAAGTCAGACTACTGAGTATCAAGGCTGGTGAAAAGGCAAGAAGGGAATGGCTCCAAACCCAAGTCAATTCAGGTAAAAAGGCAAGAAGGGAATGGCTCCAAACCCAAGTCAATTCAGCCAAAACAGGCTTGAAGGACATGACATTACAAGACTCCCCACATAAGCTCAGGAGCCTTCAGTTCTTCCAGACAGTCTGCATTTTGATCATACTGCACTGTCTCACTCTTAATAGAACATTTCAGTTACCTTATTGCTAGTGAGCCCCAAGGCAGTGAGAGGAAACTAACCCAGGCTGTAGGCAATATGTTCTAATAATAAGCAATGTCACACATTAATGCACTGCAACTTTTTCCTTTTTTCTTTTTTTTGCCTGTTTTCAAGTGACCTCCCATTTTACTTCTGTGGCTGCTCAGGTAGCATGGACTAAATACTTGATAGGATATTACAAAACATGAACCCAAGAATCTAAATGAACACACAAAAATAGTAAATGGGGAAACCATGTTTCCTTCTCCTTATACATCTCCTTGAGAAATAGAATTTATCAACCAAAAGATTCTTTTTCTTTTAAGCTAACTAAATATTTAACTTGGAATTCTTTTTTAAAAAAATCTAGATACAGAGAAAACACTTACTAAGTATATAAGAAGACTTACTAAGTATATTCCCTTGGGGAAAAGAGTCTTTTTACCATATTTTCACTTTAGTTTAGATGTTCTTATATTATGGACATAAAAATTAAATCAAAATACATCTCCCTGAACTGCCAGTGAGCCCTCTAGTGTTTCAGGGAGGCAGAAATTACTTTAGCTAAACACAAACATATGTGTCTATTTAGTCAAAGGTTACTAGAATTCTATATAACTGTGTTTACAGTGTGAAAAGACTAGCAATATAAGTAGGCTAAAAAATCATTTTAATTAACACTATCTGCTTGGTAAATGAGTTGCAGTTTATGTTTCTAACTTAGCAAGCAGTCTTATTCATTAGAATTCAGCACACTGCAAGAGTTCTATACAAGTTTCCCTCTGTAAGATTTATAGTTCTGTACTAAATTACCCACTACAATAAATTTGCTACTTGTTAATAGCTTTATTTTCTATGTAAGAATAAAAAAGCTCCAGAACACTGAACAATAACTTGAATAGGCCCACGTCAGAGACAATTAAGCCTTTGCTTCAGCCAAATTCCTATCACTGAAAGTTTAGGTATAAACTTCTTCCACAATTACATGGATAAATGTGTCTGAGTCTCTACTCATCTGAGTCTACTCTGTTGAGTAGATATAAAACTTCCTTAAATCAGTATTTACAGCTATTTTTAACTCAGTGATAAAGCCCTTTTGATCACTTGTTCATCACTTGCACAAATATTTTTAATCACTAGAGTTTTCTGATCAAGCTCCACCTTTATCAAGAACGTCTATATTTCAACAAAATAACCCCAGTCTTGTAAACACGAGAAGCTCCCAGTGATGAATGATGTGCTACAGCTCGTGACCAGATGACTCCAGCAGCTAGATACTCTTAAACTCCTCTACAGCCTGACTAGTAAAATGATTTCACTTGACTGCTTTCCAGTAATYCCTTGGTACTCCTCCAGGAGGGCAAAAGGTACAGTTACATTTGCATATTGCTCAGTTTTCTAGTTCTGCTCAATGAYGTATCTCAGTGAATCTGAGATTGCTGAAGGTTCTGACACCTCCCTGGGAAGCCCTGTGTCTACATTAGCCAAGTCTAGCTCCTATGGAGTTCTACTGCAGGCCTTTCAGATGCAGCAGCTGAGCGCTTCACTCACAAGTGACTCCCTCCCAGGTAAGCAGACTGCTTTTAATCTTCAGAAATGTGAGGCACTCGTTTTTACTTAGGAAGAGATTGGAAGGGGCTAAACTACTACCCCACCTCTGAGGAGCTAGCAAATGTGCTATTATAATTACTAACAGTAAATGGACTTAAGCATGTGTGTGTACTTTGATGACAAGAAAAAGGTGAAAGTCGGACAAGCTGCACAAAAGGACCTGCTCTTTTCTCTCTTCTGCAGATTTTTTTTTAAAAGACAATTTTAAAAAGTCTTTCTCAATCTGCTGTACATAAGCAAAAAAAAAAAAAGAAAAAAAGAAAAGATATATATATATATATATCTTTTCTTTTTCTTTTATATTCCCTAGAAACAAAGACTTCTACTGCAGCTGTTATGCTGGCCAACCAAAAGCTGATGATCATACACCCTCATTTATCAGTATTTTAGTTGCTCTTACCTTCCAAAGCACTAACACAGTGCTCTGTGGGTGGCACAAAAAGTGCTTGAAATGTAAGAAATAGAGTCCTAGTCCAACAAGAATACCTGTGATTTCAAGCTTGAACCTCTGCCAATAAACAAGACCAGTGCTGAATCAGCACAGTAATGGTGCTATTGAGAGGTAACCTCTCGCAGCACCAGGTGGAGGGAAAATAATAAGATCTTAATAAGATGTATTTTTAGTAGTTAGACAAAAGCTGGGGAGATGTCAAAGAGGATCTCAGGAAAATGCGTTGAAGCAGATTTTAGAATTGAGATATTTCTAAAGCAAACAAGCAAACAAACAAAAACCTAAATCTCAAAAAAAGTATCATCCATATGGTCAAGAGTCTCTTAAATCATGTCAACACAAGAGAGGGAAGAGAAGGACTCAAATAG